GAATGATTTGTTGACGAATCTTTTGGAATTCTCATATCATCCTCATGTGAATTATCAATTTGTTGTTGTTTTTGGTTGATTGTGAGCTCGCGTGGCACCCACCTTGAACAGAGCTTTTGCATACCCAAATATTCATGCACGATATGTCCAACATGTTCCTTTCATATCTTTAGAGCCTCAGCTATCTCAATCAATATCACTTTGAGGTCAATCAAAACTGTTTTTTGGGCATTTTTCATTTTTTTCTCGGTAACAGCCTCTTTGGGCCATCCACTGCGTGCATCGTCCTCTGTGCTCATTTCACCTCGTTTGAAATTAGCAAACCACTTCTCAATGGTTGATTTTCCTGGAACTAAGTCCGAAAAGTGTTTATCAAGCCAAGCCTTGGTTTCAACAGTATTTTTTTGCCAAAAAGCAATGCTTCATTAACACACAAAATTCCTTTTTATCCATTTTCTTCAAACTAATGAAAGTTGCTCCATCCAAAATGTTCTATCCTACGAACTACCAAGCTAATAGCTATGGAATTTGTACACGTGTCTTTTAAAAGTTGGGGTTAAGTGAAAATCATGGATTTAATAATAGTAGCACCATCTGTGTGTTAGCATACGAACTTTTTAGCATAGCCGTACATTGAATATTAATGCAATGTCAATATTATATCAATCAAGAACACAAAAACTATTCGTTTGGAGTTATTAGTAATGCCTGTAAAAAGTACTTACTCTTCCAGTCTAACAGTAAATTAACAATGTATAATTATTAAATGAATGTAGATTTTTTCACAATCCAATTTTTTTCAGGTTGAGAAACATGGATGATAATCTCAAAGATGTACTTGATGAAATCTTAAAAATCACTTGTTTTTTTTGCAACAAGTATATAACTGTGCCTCCTATTTATATATCCAAAGATGGACTCCAATTTCGATGTGGTAGGTGCAAGGATGTAGAATGTGAAGTAAATAATAGGTGTTTATTATATGAGAATATTGGAAAGTTCTTGAAGTTTCCATGTACCTATAAAAAATGTACAGAAATAATTTCATGGGGAGAGATAGAGAAACATGAAAAAATTTGTGCTTACGCGACTATATCTTGTCCTGTTTATTATTTCTGTAACATGGAAATTGAAAGGGAACAACTAGTCAATCACGTGAAAGATTTACACAAACAAAATTATTTTGAAAATAGATTTACTTACAATATTAAGCCATACCATAATATGGTTTCAGTTTTAGAAAAAAAAGGAATACCATTTTTGATATTTGTGAAGGGAGAAAGAGTTTATGTTATTTCCATTAAATCAAATAAAGGCTCTACATATAATTTAACATTAAGTGGCTCCTCTTCTCCATCATTACTGTATGAACATAAGGAAATAAATGAAGTATATGATGAACGGATACATTGTTGTGAATGCATTGCTGGAAGTTGTAAAAGAACATATCATCCATATTCATCATTGTATGACAAGAAAAATGAAAACTTACTGGATACTTATCTTAATCCCAAAGACTTGAAGAATCTTTTTGGTAATTACGCAGAACTGAAATTTACTATCGATATTTTCTTTGATGAAAAAATTGAGAAAAATAAAGTCAGAGATGTTGCTGTTTCCACCGATATAACAAATTCCCCAGTATTAGATACATCGAATAATCTTGATATTTGGAAAAACTTTGAATGTCCCATATGCATGGAATATATGATAGCCCCAATATTCATTTGTCAAGATGGCCATTCAATTTGCAGCAACTGTAAGTGGAAAGGTAAAACTTGTTCAACTTGTCAATCTGGAATTGGATCTTCAAGAAACTTCTCCCTTGAAAATTTAGCAAGTTTGATAGTTCCTCGATCAAACAAAGAGGATAATGGCTCTTCTTTTTCTTTATGGTCTTTGCTTCCTTTCGGCTCAGTAAAACAAGGAGAATGGTTGTAACCTCGAAGAAAATACTAAAGAGATGTCTATTCCTAAGGAGGATTCTTTGGAAACTGATTAACATGTGGTATGTATGGACTGAATTGAATAATTATAAATAATTCAAAAACTTTATTGGCATTGAACTGCTTTTTAAATTACTTTTAAAATAGTATTCAGATAAACCAAATATTTTTATTCTCAAAACGTTCTGATACACTTTTTGTCACTTCTTATTATATACTAATTCATTTGCAGATTCCTTCGAACTCTTAAAAAAAGGTTGTTACTGTTTTTTAGGCATGTCTCCTTAGTCTCCTTAGTCTTCAGAGACATATTATTATTGATGTAGAATTGATACAACATACTCTAGGTAATCATAATTGAGGATGTACCTTAGGTATATAAAAGTCAAGTAGATGCTTTAGGTAATTATGATCCAGTAGGATGTTCTCACTGATGATTACGTGGGGTATACAAAAAATGAAGTAAAGAATCAACTTTTAGTATGTTATTCACTACAAAAAAGCTACTGTGATAGCAAAACGTGAAATTTTTGAAAATAAAGTTTGTGAAGATCAAAACTTCAGATGTAGTTTGTGAAATTTGTTTCTAAGATGACTTTCCAAGTGTAGTATTGTTTGTATTTTAAACCTCATTATCATATGTTCAGAACCACATTAGATTTGTTATCTACGTTATGGGTTGAATTTCTAAAACAATTTTTCAAGTGATATTAATTTTTCTGTTTTATTTTGGTAGGTAGTGATGTAGTATTATACTGATTTTGTTTCCAATAAAAACAAATTTGAAAGCTGATTTTTTCCATTATTAATTAATAAATACTTTTTTGGCTTTCTGTTTCTCCATATTTATACAAAAAATGTGGGAAACTTCCCGAAGAAAGATAAAAATCACTTAAAAGTAAACACTTGACAGAAGTAAGATCATGTACGGAAGTTTCTTTCAGATTGTAACTGGAAAAAAGCACCCTCAAAACAATAACTTTCACATGAACATTAAATTACACAAACAACACTTTTTTATTCAGTCTGTTCTCCAAACATATATATGGAACTGAAACAGATAGTAATCAAAGAAAAACTACATAACATGATAAATGAAAGAGCATCAATATAACATTTCAACGAAGGAAATAAATCTGCTTATGTTAAGATGATAGTAAGTAATTTGATGTTCATATGAAAGTAGTTGTTTCGAAAGGACTTTTTCGTGTGACTCAATGTTCATGTGAAAGTAGTTGTTTTGAGAGGGCTTTCTCTTCCAGTATGTATCTAAAAGTAACTTCTATGCATGATCTACACATCTTTGTGAAGTGTTTATTTTCAACTTTATTGCTTTATTCGTGCCTTTGAAAGTTTCACAACTTTTTTAGATGATGTAGTTGATAGAAACTCCTGTACATGATCTACACATCTTTGTTTAGAACTTACTTTGAACTTGATTGCTCTCTTCTTTTATTTGGAAGTGTCCCATGATTCACGATTTTCATCGTTTTTAGAGACTTTCCAACCGTCTGTCAGAATTTCATGAAAATCCATATTCGCTACTTTTCCTGATTCTCTGTTTTAGTTTATTATTATATAAATGTTTATAAAATCAAATTTAAATCTTCGATGGAAATTGAACAATAGAATACCATTTGGAAACAAAATAGATCTTAATTGAAATTTTCCATTAAAAATTGATTTGTTGTTTTATTTAAAATCCTTGAGAATATTCAACTTCTCAAACAGAAAATAACATGCCATGACTGGAAATATCAGTTTAAATTGCTGCCTCTATAAATTTGTTCCTGCCCATAAAACAAAGTGAATAGTAATAATCAAGTCAAGTAATAATCTGAGTCACTATTCAAATACCATTTCTCATTGAAAAAATGTGAGATGTCAATTATAAGCTTTAAAATTTCTGAATACTGAAGAAAAATTGTTCAACAGTCGCTTTAAAAGTTTGTCCCTGTTATTAATAGCTGTGATGAAGTCTTGTTAGTCCTGTTATCCGGGGTTTACTTTCAATTAGGTACTTTTTTTTTGAGTAGTTGTGGTGGAGTTTTTAATTTTCTAGGTATTCATTTGATGTATTCATGAAGAGATCAGTTGATTTCTGAGCTACACTAAGGATATTTTGGCAATTATCTCTTCTGATTAGGGATATAAATGTATTTATTTTAATTTTAGTGAATTTATTTTTATTTTCCTAAGTGACATTATATTCTTTCTAGCTTTTTTAATATTTAATTATTGGATAGTGATCTGTGATAAAATATTCATGTAAAGTTGTTATTCATATTAGTTCGTTTTTCTGTACTGGATGGTAAATACAAGATTTAATATCATGGGTTTTTCGTGTTTGAACTACATTGAAAGATATTTGTTTACATTGATGTCATTCTCATTTATCAAATCTATATCAATATCACTACTACCACTTCAATAATATAGTTTGTTCTGTTCTCTATTGTGAATTGTCGTATAACTTGGGAATATTAAAATTGTTTGATGATGCAATCTGGAAACATTCGTCGTGAAAAAATATCAAAAGAATTGAAATTATAGGTACCAATAATAGCTGAAAACTAATCAAAGTTTTTACATGCACTTTTTATATTGAAGTGCATCAGATTCAGATATTTATCAGTTGTAATAATTCTTTATTTCATTGGGTCAATGTAGTGTCCCCGATGATTTTGTTCGAATTGATTCATAGTTTCTAAAATTATATCCACATCCAATATTACCATTGAGGTGAATAATCAATTTTTGATTTTAAGTTTGTTCAACTTTGACCAAATATTCTCAAAATGAAACTTAAATCTGAGGTCAGAGTTAATTGAGGTATAGTCTATCTATTCCCAATTGGAACGGCAATAAAAATAAGAACACTACGAGGGGTGTCCATAATCACTGCACAGCAAATGGGAAATGTATATACTACCAGTGCTTTTATGTTCAAAGCGTCCCTAGTACAATCATAAACATTTCTTGCCTGTGGCCCCTAGTGGCCCAGATAGTTAGTAAACGTGCTATCAAATGTAGTTGAGGAATAAAGACTCGGTTAGTTGGACTGGCTGAATACAAATTTTTCGTCCGTTTCACAATATTTATTTATCAGTGACTTGTGTTCGTGGGGTTAGGTGAGGTAGTGAGTGGTTTTGCAAACCGATTTTTGTAAACTTTTTCTAGAGATCAATTACCCTAACCCCAAACTGATATTTTTGCACTCGATGCGAGTTTCGCTAACAAGGTTAGCATCTTCAGGAGAAGCAAATTAATACTGAATCTAAAGACGTTAGCTGTTTATATACCTAAAGTTTTTTGGTGCGATGTGGACTTTGTTTGTTAATTGATGATTATCCTAATTGATTTTTCGGTAATTAACTAGTGGAACCACTACCTGCAAATTAATTTGACAACTATAGTTTAAAAAGCTTCGTATCATTTTCGGTTATTGACTACAATACCAAACAATAACACAGAAAAAGCAGATATTGTTGATTTCATGCGGAATCATGACATGGAAATACCCGAAAAGATTCCAACGAAAATGGTATTACTGGCGACCATAAAACAACGTAATTCCAAAGGAGTATATTATTGATTCGATGTGTGAAACACGTGGTCATATTCTCTTACGTTTGCCTCCATACTATTGTGTGTTCAATCCAATTGAAATGGTTTGGGCCACAATAAAAGAAAGCTTGCGGAAATGTAATCAGAAACCGACTTTGAATGCTGTAGTGCTTGACAATATAAGGCGAGTGGTGAATGAAGTAGGTAATAGTGATGTGTGGAAGAACTGTGTGGACCACGTTATAATAATATTAAAGTGTAGTTTGAGACTCTAAACAATACGCTGTAATGTCCAAAAAACATTTGAATAGAAATGAATATTCCAACTATATACAACATTCGAATATCCCGCGTCCGTCACAATAGTACTGATACAAATCTTCAGATGGAGCCTTTTTCCGTCGCTGTTGTTTAGCATTGCCGTGAACCATCTAGAGTATATGGTCTGTGCGCACATTACAACTGAAACAAGCTAACGAAATCATGTTTGTAGATGCGTCGGGCAACTGAGACGTTTATGACCACAAAGGTACTTTTTTGTAACTCAGACCGCGACGGGAGGATTACCTATCAGTTGTATACCAAGCAGCTGTCAAAAATCTGATTTATTTGATGTAGCAGTGGTGGACTTGATAGAAATAATGCCCAAAAAGATTCAGCCGAAAGAAAGATAGATAATGATATTGGCGAACGTGATGTTTTGCAAAAGAACTGGCCTCTTGCAACACTATTATTATGTTCATTTCATGTTCCAAAGGCGATCTGTCGTTGGATACTCACTGGCAAAAATGGAGTTCCCAAAACGATGCCCAAAACTATTACAAACTTTTTAAGTCTATTTTGTACGCAACAACACTAAATGAACTCAAAGCAGCAAATGAAAAATTATTTTAAGATTGTGAGCATGAGGGTTTTAAAGAATATATTTGACAAACGTATCTTAATCAAGAACAAATATGGTGTATTTTTCACAGATTAAATTTTCCACTGCGAGGTAGTGATACCAATAACTACACCGAGGTCATTTTTTTGTTGGTTCGTTCTTAGTTGTTTCATATTGTTCATATTTAATTTTGTTTCGATTCATTTGCTCCATTCTTTTTGCTTCTGATGTCTGACAACTTACTGGAAGGATACTTCAAAATACCTGAAAAGAAGAAAAGGATTTGTGAACTTTCATTTTAGTAAAAAAATATAGAGAAATATATGTTAACCGGGCTCGCTCGAACTTTTTGAATAATTTTTGTTGGAATTTGTTTTTGATTATGAATCTCAGAAATGAAAATTAATTAGACAACTCGACTATGGCTAACTAGTGTTAAATATG